TGCTGCTTGGCCTGCTGTGTTCATCCAGCTCTGCACCTTGTTATCTCAAAACTAACACGCAGGTTCAGTTGGCAGTTAGAAGGCAAATGCTATGTTGGCGTTCATTTCAAAAGGATTAGAATATAATAGCAAAAATGTACTGTTCAGGCTGTTTTGGAATATTTAGCAGTTTGGGCCCCACATCTAAGGGGAGGATGTGCTGGCATTACAAAGGGTCCAGAGATCCTGGGGAGATTGAGGACTTTGGGTCTGTACTCAATGGAGTTTAGAAGGCTAAGAGGAGGATCTGATTGAAACTTGCAGAATAATGAGAGGTCTGGATACAGTGGGCATGGAGAAGATGGTTCTACTACTAGGAGAGACTAGGACTACTACTAGAGAGACTAGATGATAACCTCAGAATGAAGGGACTAAAAGGAGGAGGAATTTCTTCAACTAGAGGGTGGTTAATGTGGAACTCATTGCCAGAGAGGGCCATGGATGCCAAGTCATTGAGTGTCTTTGAGACAGATAGATAGGTTCTTGATTAGTAAGAGCATGAAGGGTTAAGAGGAGAAGAAAAGAGAATGGGGTTGAGAAACATATCAAACATGATCAAATGGTGGAGCAGACTCAATGGCCCAAATGGCCTAATTCTGCTCCTACATCTTATGGCCTTGAAGAGGCATAGCAAACCAATGGAGAAGAGATTTATTTATACAACAGATTTGCAAAGCTTTTCATTGGAAAATAAAGTTTGAGGAGATCTGATTGAGGCAAAACAGATATTTTGATCAGGCAGATCTAATTTAATTGATTGACAAGTTAAAATCATCATAAAGTCCCTACAGTGTGGAAATAGGCCATTCGGCCCAACAAGTCCACACCAATCCTCTGAATGGCATCACATACAGACCCATTCCCCACCCAATATTTCTCATGGCTAACATCTAACCTACACATCCCTGGCCACTGTGGGGCAATTTAGCATTGCCAATCCACCTAACTTGCACATCTTTGGATTACGGGAGGAAACCAGAGAACCAAGAAGAAATCGACGCAAGAGAGAATGTGCAAACTCCACTCAGTTGCCCGAGGCTGGAATCGAACCCAGGTCCCTGGCAATGTGCCGCCTGACAGACAAATATTAAAGAACACCAAAATAACAAACTGGGGCCAGGACAGGTGAGGATAATAGTTTTTCTTTTTTAAAAAATACAAGCAAAGGCAAGTGGATATTTGTCTGTAGAATGGTCTTTCATACAAGATCCTGGAAGCAGAATCTACAAGTGCCATTTGGGTCATATTTCAGATGAAAATGAGAGTAAGCTTGTCTTTCGCTCGAGTGCAGGGCAGTGTGTGCCCTAGACACACAAAAGAGTAAGTTCATTTGTTATTCAACCATTCTGATTTTGGAGCTGCACACATGAACTGGAACAAAGTAATTCTTATTCGATTTCTGGCAACAGCAAGTGGAAACAAAAAAATGTCTGTGCTGCATAAACTGCAGATTTGTAAAAAAAATTCTGAGATGCCCCTCACATTTCAGAATTTAAGAAATTATTTCACTTGCGTAATATTGCTCTCTCCATTGGTATCCTCTACATCTCTATTTAAATTAATGCTCTGAACCTATGACATGTTCTGCATATTACTACTGTGTTGTATTCATTCATTTTAAACTGAAGTGAGTTTGATTCCTTTGCTTTGGCATCACGATCATTATTTTGTTTTAAATAGACCTGGTATTATCTTTACTTTTTTTTAAAAAAGGAATTGGATGTACCCCACTCCAGAGATCGAGAAATCAAGATGAACAGAAGTTTAAAAAGAGTTTAAATATTAACCAAACCAGATATACATTCAGCATATTAGTTTTCTCTCAGAGAGTTGATAATTCTACAGAAAGTGCCCATCACATTTTCTGATCTGTTCAAGTAATAGATTCAAATATATGTAGATAGGAGGAAAAGACATATTGGACTGAAACATTAACTGTTTTTCTCTCCACAGATGCTTCCATACCTGCTGGGTTTCTCCAACACTTTTTTATTTCAAATTTCCAGCATCTGCAGCACTTTGGTTTTATTTGAGAAACAAATTATCTTTTCAGAGTTACCAATCAGGATACTAGCACTTGCAGATCAAATTAATATTTGACAGATTTCTTGCATCAGTCATGGATCCTCATGTGGATAAGCACTGACATAGTTTACCTACAGCACCACATTTCAAACATCCAACATTGTGAACTGCACTTTAGAAAAAACACTTTAAAATACTAAATATTAAAAGTTCTTGCAACAAACAGAAACAAGCTTAGCTACAGAAATAAAAGGAATCAAAGGAAGTCATTCAGGAAATCCTAGGTAGTTGGTCCCAGACAACTGTTCAAAGACCGAAGATGGAATGATGGGAAGGAGGATGTCAATAAAGCGTACAGTTTGGCATGTACAGCTATCCTTGGGGTCAGAATGAGTCAAGGACACAGATTTGTAAACATTGACAAGAACTTTCAAGTCAACATTTTGGGGGAAAGTAGCCAATTGCATGCAGTAAGGATAATATCTCAACTTGAATGAGGATTCAACTTTGCAAATGAAGGTCCATGGGTAACTTGCAAGTAGGGGATTCAGCCCGGAAATGGTGATCTGATGAGTGTGAAGCAAGTCAAGGGTGGAGCAAGACAAGGCAGAGTGTAGCCGTCTCAGAGACGGCAATAGATAGCCTTGATATAAACTGAGACATGAAAAGCCGAGCTCAGGATCAAACATGACATCAACCTAGTTCAATAAACACACGTGTATAGGACACAAACACTTATGTCAGGGAGGGTGGGGAAACTGATTCATCCTGCAATATTACCAGGGTTTTCAGATCACCAAATACGTTCTGCCTCTATTTATCCTCAACTGTCTCATATGTACATCGTTTACATCTGGGACATTTTACCCTGAAGAAAATATAAAACTCCATTTGATATTAGAAACCAGAATTTACCTAAATCGAGCAGGCGACAAGGGTGTCGGTGGAAACATTCCGGGTTCGAATGAATCAAAATACGTCAATGTCCACGAGAAACTGCAGCATGAGAAACCAGCCGTCAAAGCCAAAATCAACGAACTCCAAAGGCCTGAAAAAAAAGGAAAGTTGTTAAAAATAGTGACAAGGAAAAAAAAAGGGGCTTAGTACATTTAAAACGACATGCCAACTTCAAAGGATACGTTACCTAAAATACCGGTTTTAATACCATCCTCACTGTTTTCTCTGTCCCAGCGCAAATCTGCAACCGCAATTCAGGTCATTTTAAATCAAAGTTGGATGCTTAACAAAGTTTTAAAGCTTCCCCAAGAATCAACTGATGAACAAACAGTACCTTTGAGGATTAAGTACATAACCGCTAGAAGAAAGGCAATGAACGATATCACAATGATACAACACAGCATTGAGCACAGCCGGGCCGGCCACTTCTTACTCGGGGAGTTACTATAGGCGGTGGGCACCAAAACCCGGTTTGGCCTCGTCCTGTGACTCGGCAGAACCACGGCCTCCTTCGCGGAATCTGTCTGTGAACGAACGCCAGGCGACTCGACGTCCCCAGGGTCACAGACCATCAGCTCCCCACCGTCTGGCCAGAGGCCGTCGGGCGGAGCGGACATCCCGCTCCGCTTCAAGTACCGCGGCATCGAGCAGTAACTACTACCGCCGAAAACTACCAGCACAGAGAAACAGCTCCCTCTCCCACAGAAAACGAACAGCTATTACTACCACTGCAGGCACCACCACCTGAAACCTCCTTCCCGCCTCTCTCTCCAACTCTCCGTCCAACCAACCAAAGGCGTGAAAAGACCCCACCCCCAGCTCCGACAGCTTCATCCAATCAAGAGAAGAGCTCGGGGAGGGCGGGACAGACGCTTTCGGTTTGCGGCACATGATTGGTGATAGGTGCTGACATCACACGGGGTGCAGGGCGGGACGAACGTCAGTCTCTCGTGCTCTATAGGCGGAAAATGCTGTCACTCAAAGTGAGGTGCGTGGAACATTTTCCAGCACTTGATTGGCTAATTGTCCATCACTCTACGGGAAGAGGCGGGGTGAACTGTTCCATTGTCTGGCGAACAGCGCTGTCACCCGGTACGAAGGGGCGGGGCTGAATAGTAATCGTCATTTAGTTGGTTAATAACGCGGTTATGCAGAGCGAGAGGCGGGGTTAAACAGTTCTCTGCGTCTGATAGGTGAATAGCGCTGTCACTCAGTACGTCTGTTCCGGGGATGCAGATCCCGTCACCTTTGACCTTTGCCCCTTTGCTAGGCTGAGCCAGTCGGATCGCGCGCCGCTGTTACTGCGGGTCGTGAGGGCCGCGCCGGAGCGGAGCCGAGAACATGGTGAGTGCGGGAACTGCAGTGAACAGAGCCGCCCCTTTACTGGAGCCGAGTCTGCGGTGAGAGAGAGGTTCGGCTCATCCGAGCCCTGCTTCATGAGTGGCTCGAGTGGCAGCTGCTGCTACCGCCGGCGACCGGGCTTCCTCTCCGTGACTGGGCCGCACAGCGACCTCTGCAAGATGGGCGCGTGTTGTGAGAGGCGGCTGGATGATGGCCTGATGGTTGGCGGGCGGGGCGTTTTGCAGGCCGCGGGGGAGCCTCACCGATCGCTCGGTGTGTCCGTTCCTCTTGGCGGAACGCGGTAGCGCGGCGCTTCCGAGTTTTAAAAAACATCAAAGCGGTTCTGTGTAATTATGAATGAATGGACGAATCGGGCTGGGAGGGTGAAAATCGCAGTTGGTTTACATTGATCAGGGCTACATGTTTGTGCGGAAATTCAAAATCTGTTCCCAGCCGTTCGTCGTGCACTAAATGAAAATACCCAGTTTAACAACATGGCGTACCTGGCCCTTCCCTCAAAATGAGTAAAAGAAGCCAGGTGATATTAGAATAATGAAAAAGGAAACTGTACTGGTCTGTTCTATCCCGATTGCTCAATGGTAAATTCTAATTAAATATATTGTAAAAGTAATTTGTTCTGATTTGTTGAAAGTGCAGAAATGAATCTACTGTCAAGATGAAATGAATGGAAATATCCGATATGGTTTTATTGGGTTTGCTGATGCAAAATAATTTTCAGGCATACTTCAAATTATTATATTCTGTTGTACTGAACAAACATAATTGGGACATATATTTGCATAAAACATAATATTGTACATAAATGCGCAGGTAGATACATTGCATAGGCCTGAAAAATGAATGTTTATGATATATATTGCCAGCCCACTTACTTTGCCCAATCATAGACATCAACTTTCTCAGCTGCCTGGACTCAGCACTTTGGAATTACTTCCACAGGCGTCTTTGCTTTTTCACCTTTCACTGCCTTAAAGACTTCATAGAATCCCTGCAGTGTGGAAGCAGACCATTCGGCCCACCAAGTCCACACTAACCTGCTGAAGAGCATCCCACTCAGACCCACCCCCTTACCCCGTCCCTGTAAGGGGAGGTGATGGCCTAGTGGTATTATCGCTGGACTGTCAATCCAGAAACCCAGATAACGTTCTGAAGACCTGGGTTCAATTCCCACCATGGCAAATGGTGGAATTTGAATTCAATAATATCTGGAATTAAGAGTCTAATGATGACTATGAATCCATTGTCAATTGTTGGAAAAACCCATCTGGTTCACTGATGTCCTTTTGGGAAGGAAACTTCCATCCTTACCTGGTCTGTCCCTACATGTGACTCCAGACCTGCAGCAGTTTAGTTGACACTTAACTGCCCTCTGTGCAATTTTAGATGGGCAATTAATGCTGCCTAATCAGAGATGCCCCCATCCCGTGAATGAACTAAAAAAAAAACCCTGCATTTCCAATGGCTAATCCACCCAACCTGCACATCCCTGGCCGCTGTGGGCAATTTAGCATGGCCGATCCACCTAACCTGCAAATCTTTGGACTTGGGAGAAAATCGGAACATTCGGGGCAACCAACGCAGACACGTGAAGAATGTGTGCAAACTCCACACAGACAGTTGTTGCCTGAGGGTGGAATTGACCTCTGGTCTCTGGTGCTGTGAGGCAGTAGTGCTACCCACTGAATCACTTTGCCATTCTTGCTTTCAAAACCCAACTGTTTAATCTTGTGTCCTAGTGTCTTCCTCTGGCTTGATGTTCATTTTTATCTGGGCCTGCTGTGTGGTCTTAAGATTGCTTGTAATGTCCCATATGCTACATAAAGGCAAGATGCTGCAATGTTCATACTTCAGCACATTGGATATTTATATTAATCAGTCCAATGAAACAACTGGAACTGTTTCTATTGTCCAATATTTTGCTGTGCAGTGCACTGTCAATATTTCTTTTAAGTATAAATGCAAGACAGGTTGGGTAAATATGAAGCTCTTGAGTGCATTTATGCACTGTCTGTTTCAAGGTGACACAAAACAGGAAGGCCATTTAGCGGACCATCCATCCAGAATAGATCTAAAATTTTCTCATTGCAACGTACAGTTCATTCTTAAATAATAATATTGTTTTTGATTTCTTGGTACAGTGGCGGAGATGATTCAACATGTTACAACAGGAAGTTATCCACATTAATGAATGACCTAAATTAATGCTTTGGGAACACGTTAGCTAGTTTGTAATTACTCAAACTAGATAACACTTTCCCAAAGCATTAATTTAGGTCATTCATTAATGTGGATGACTTCCTGTTGTAACATGTTGAATCATCTCCGCCACTGTACCAAGAA